AAGGAGACGGGAGGCCATGCTTCGGAGACGAAGCAGGGAGGGGTGACCCAGGCGGTGGTGCCAGAGGAGGGTCTCGTGAGACAGGGGGCGATACGAGCAGTGGGCACACTCAGGACCAGACCTGGACGCTGCAGCAAACACCTGACCCGACGCAAGCACCTGACCAGACGCAGGAGGCGGAGGAGACGCGGTACTGAGTGTGTACAGGCTCGACCCCGGCGGACGCGTGAACGTGGCCAAGTGTCGGCCCGTGTCCGCGTCCGTGCAGTGGGTGTCCCGTCAGCGCGCAGGGGTGAACTGGTCAACCCCCCCATCCTGTAGGTCAGCACCCGCCACCAAGTTCGTAGAGAACGAGGGGAGGTACAGACCCGACAGGGAGCCGGACGGGACCGCAGGGCACGGAAGGACAGTGGAGTAGTGAGCCAGAACAGGACCCCCAGAGGGGTCTGCCAGGGAGACTGCAACCGGCCGACTAAGCGGCGTGAGTGTGGTGCGGTCTCGAAAGAAGGAGCGAGACGCCCCCGAGTCAAGGGTGAAGGTGAGGGAGGCCGGAGCCGACGCGGTACCTGAGAGAGCAGACTCACCAGCACCTGAGGACGCAGACTCACTGGCACCTAGAGCAACAGCCTCACCAGCACCTGGAGCAGTAGTCTCAACAGCACCTAGAGCAGCAGTACCAATGCACGGGTCGGGCGGGAAACACCGGTAACAGTCACCCTCCTCACTAATAGTCACAGCATACATGGCACGAAGAATAGCATCAAAGTCAAGATCAAAGATAGCTACTCCTGCCCTAGACAGCTGGTCCCAGCGAGGGATCTCAGTGGCGTCAGGAAACTGGCGGCGCCAAGCGTCAGTCAGGCGGCCAAAGCAGCGCTGGGTGGGGTGCGGACCACCACACTCCTCACCCGCGCGGTCGCCGGTTCGCAAGACGTAGGTGCACGGACCAGTACCCCCACCCCTCTGGCACGCAGCGTACCACTCACAGAGCTGCTGAGGGGAGAGGGTCTCCTGACCGCGCTGCTGCTGCTGGCGCTGACCACCACCGGAGCCACTCCTCTGCGACGAGCCACGACCTCCTCCGCCGCCTCCACCGCCGCCGCCGCCACCACCTCCGCTACCACCTCCACTCCCACCGCCGCCGCCGCCGCCGCCGCCTCCGCCTCCACTCCCACCGCCACCGCCGCCGCCGCCTCCGCCTCCACTGCCGCCACTGACACCTCCGCCCCCGCCACCACTCCCACCACCACCCCCACCTCCTTCGCTGCCTCCGCCGCCGCCTCCACTGCCCCCGCCAGCTCCTCCAGCGCCCCTGCCCCCCTTGCCCTTGCCAGGGCGACGTCTCCCACTAGGGGCAGACGCCGCACCGACCGACTCCAAACCAACTAGGTCGGCCGTAGCAGCAGAGGCAACAGAGGGCAAAAGGGGGGAGGGGGAACACCCCTCAAAGATGGGGGTGCGCGGGTCACCACGAGAGGCCCCTACAGCGAGAATGCTCTTCTCGGCCGCGAGGAGGGACTTCTCGAGGAGGTCAACAGTGAGAGTGGTGGGACAGACTGAGAGAAAGTGGTCCCTGACTACGCGAAGGGAGTCAGGGAGGCGGGTGACTATGTAGTAGAGGGTGATGTACATGGGGGGGGGGTTCTTGGCGCAGAACTCAGCAGGAAGCGCAGCGCGGTAGCGAGCGTCACTAGTGCGGAGGTGGGTAATGAGGTCAGCGACTGTGGCAAAGGCAGCAAGGTCGGGAAAGAGGTACGGTAGCATGAGGCGGCTCAGTGCAGCAGTGGCAGGGGAGGAGTAGCGTGCAACTACAGCGTCGTACAAGGTCTGAGCACTCTTGTACTGGCCAAAGTGCGCACGCTCAGAGGGAGGCAGGTGGCGACGCACAGCAAGACGTGCAGCAGCATCGCGGGTGTCCCACTGTGAGCGAACAGTGGCATCCTCATCAGCAGCAGGGGCGGGAGAGGCACCAGAAGTGAGGTCAAAGAGAGAGAGGCCGTCGTCCCTATCGCACTGTAAGAAGAGCAGCAGGTCGTCTACCCAAACGTCGAAGTCAATGGCCCTACCCTCAGCGTCAAAAGTGAGGACACTGGGGGTAGCCATGACAGCAGTAGACTAGCAGTAGGGTGAGAGCAGTGCGGAGAGGACGGCTCTGCTCTTACCAGACAGGGCAGGTCGGGTAGTGCAGGTGCCGGGCGGCTCGGGCGGCTCGGGTGGCTCGGGCGGCTCGGGCGGCTCGGCTGTTGAGCGGCTCGGCTGCTCAGGCGGCTCGGCGGCTCGGCGGCTCAGCTGCTGGGCGGCTCGGCGGCTCGGGCGGCTCGGCTGCTGGGCGGCGCGGCTGCTCAGCGGCGCGGCTGTCAGGCGGTTCGGCGGCCCGGCTGCTGGTGGAGCGGCGGCCTGGCGGCTCAGGTGGTAGGCGGCGCGGCAGGCGGGTGGCGCCGCTGCTGGGCTGCTGGGCAGCGGCGTCGCGGCCTGGAGAGGTGGCGCCGGGGCCGAGGGGAGGCGGCTTCGGGGCCGAGAGAGGCGGCGCCGAGGCCGTCGGGCGGCTGTGCCAGGAGGGAGGCGGCGCCAGGTGCAGCAGAGGCGGAGCGGGGGCCAGCAGAGGCGACGTTGGGGCCGGGAGCGACGGCGTCGGGGCCTGCAGAGGCGGCGTCGGGGCCGGTAGAGGCAGCGTCGGGGCCGGCAGAGGCGACACCGGGGCCGGCAGAGGCGACGGCAGGGCCGGCCGAGGCGACGGCGAGGCCGGCAGAGGCGACGGCGGGGCCGTCAGAGGCGGCGTCGGGGCCGGTAGAGGCGGCGCCGGGGTCGCGGGAGTGGGCGCCGAGGCCAGAGGGGCGGCGCGAGGTAGCAGGGCCGCAGAGCGGTGCGACGCGGCCGTCTGGGGCGGCGCGACGAAGCCGCTAAGGCGGCGCGACGAAGCCGCGAGGGCGGCGCGACGCGGGCGGCTCAAAGGGGCCGTGAGCGCGACGCGATCGGGCCGCGAGAGTAAAAAAAAAAGGAAGCGCGACTCGGGCTAGGGCTGAGCGCGTTCCGGTCAGGAAAAAAAAGTCGGTGGGCCCTAAGAACAGTTCCCACTAGGGAACCTGCTCGATACCATCTCAGAATCAGTAGCAAGGAATGAATGAACTATGAAAGAAAACAGTACAAGTACCAACCCTAATTGGGTTGTACCCCCTATGGGCTACCCCACTACAGCCTACAAACATGCATCAGCTATATAATAATCTGACAACGCATACTCCCAGCAAAGCTGCAAGCTGTTTGCCGACGGACGATTTCTGTTTTTATAAGTAGCCACCACACCACTCCACGTCCATTCTAGCCAGTTCTTGTTCGAGTAGGCCCCTTTTCCATCCACAATGCCTAGAGCACGGTCTGAAATGTGGGACCACGTGAAGGAGGTAACTGACAAAGACGGAAAAGTAGCCTATGTGTGTATTCACTGCCCTAAGGAGAAACCCACTGTCATGCCTGCAAGCGCTACACGAATCAGAGACCACATGCTAGGGATCGAGAAAGGTCAGCCGAAAAACATAGGGGTATGTAAGTCTGAGTTTGCGGTGAATCTCCGCCTCAAGAGTGCAACGTCTTCGTGCAATCCGAGCAGCTCAACATCCTTGGTGGGGAACGGCCCTAAGAAGAGCCGCCAGCTCGACATCCGTGACGTCACGGACGAAAAGGGCCGTGACAAACTCGATCTGCTATGGGTGACTGCGGTGGCAGAAAACGATTGGGCGTTTCGTGTCTCTGAGTGAGTGGAAACGCTTTACCCTTGTGCTATGTTTCTTCCGTGGACATCTTCCCTCCCCATTTTACGTGTTAATTTGGCTGCTGCTGCAACGCTCCTCCTCACCTTGTTAATATTATGCTTTGCTGGCATTCATACCACACCCCACAGATCTTTAGCGGTCCAGAACTTTCTGAACGCTTTAGTGAGTTTTGGGAGACCCTACACACTCCCGTCTGCCTACAAAGTTGCGGGCCCATTGCTCGCCAGATTGAAGACAGAGACGAAAGAACTCGTGCGGCCCTTGACAGATTCTTGGGCAACGGCATCGTGCACCATCTCCGTCGACGGATGGTCGTGCTTGAAGAGTCGCGGCTTGGTGTGTGTGTTGGCACACAGCGACACTGCACAAGTGATTGTCAAAATCGTCGATTCCGGGCTGTCCAAGAAGACAGGATCATACCTGGCTGATCTCATAAGGACGTCAATCGTGAAGGTGGGGGACAACAAGGTGATTCAGGTGGTCATGGACAACGCAAGTAATAACAAGAGTGCTGCCGCAATTCTCGGTGAGGGTTACCGTCGATTTTCTTCACCAACTGTGTTGCCCATTGTCTCGATTTGATGCTCCACGACATGGGTAACATCGGCATTGTGAAGAAAGTTCTCACCCAGGTCCATCGCATCGTCATGATGGTCAAGGGAAGTGCGAGCGCTGTTGCCCTGTTGCGCACGATTTTCAGCAAGCTGGAGCTTGTTCGGCCAGGTACCACCAGATTTGGCACGCAGGTGATCATGGTCACCCGGTTCTTGGAGGTCAAGCTCTAGCTCCGTCAGCTGGTCATCAGTGACCAATGGAAGTCGGTGGCTGTGTCTAAGACCGAAGATGTGAAGAAAATCCGGAAGCTCCTTCTGGATGATATCTTCTGGGAATCGGTCACATCAGTGCAGAAACTGATGATGCCGATCTACAACGTGCTACGAGCAGTCGACACAAGGGCTCTTGCGATGGGATCCATCTACGGGATGATGCTCGAGGCGACCGTGGCGGTCAATGAGGCGGCAGAGGGAGCAGGTAAGCAGTGTTGAACACCCATTACAAGTGCACCCTATGCCAAACCAGATTCGTGGCCTAATGGTATTATATCTTTCTTTGCAGCGACATTCTTCAGGCGTCACAGCCAAGTGCTTGCCGGGAAGAAGAGGTCGAAGTTTTTTGGCGGACATCAAGGGCATCATCGTGCGCAGATGGGATCAGCAGTTGCATAACCCGATGCATGCAGTCGGCTGGCTCCTCAACCCGAAGAACCAGCTCGCGATGGAAGTCCGCAACGACCCCGAGATCATCGAAGGGGTCAATGCGGTGCTGCAGGCACGAGGAGGTGACGTGCAAGGCCGAATCTTGTTGCAAGCCCAGCTTGCTACGTACCACAGAGGTGAGGGTCGTCTGGGGGGGGAAGATGCACGGGCCGCAGCGATGCTCGTGGAGAGTGAACGTCTCTCACATGCGAATTGGTGGGCGATGTATGGAGGGGAACTCCCCGAGCTACAAGATTTGGCTGTGAGAATGTTATCACAGCCTATCACTGCATCGGAAGTTGAGAGATGCTAGTCTGCGATGGCTCGGGTGCAGCGGCGGGATCGCAACAGATTGAGCGCTCAGACCATGATCGATGTCACCAAGGTGGCATTCAGTAGGCGTTCGAGGGCTGCATTCGACAAGAGGCAGGAAGTGCGCGCCAAACTTTTTGCAGACCTTGCAGCAGGCAAGCTCAACGAGAGCACTCTATAAAGAGTGCCGACGACGGCACTTGAAAGCTCTGAACCACAGGCCGAAGGCTCTGAACCACGGGTTGAAGAGGAAGAAGGTGATGTCGATTGCGTGATTGACTGGGAAGCTCTTGGCAGCATCGGGAAGAGGAAGAAGAAAGAGGTGACAAAGGGAATCAAGGGAAAGGCGACCAAGAAGCTTAAGAAGAAGCGTTCGGCTGACGAAGACGATGATGAGGAGGAGGAGGAGGAGGATGAGGATGAGGAGGAGGAGGAGGAGGAGGAGGAGGAGGAGGAGGAGGAGGAGGAGGAGGAGGAGGAGGAGGAGGAGGAGGAGGAGGGCGGGGCGTCCAACGCATGGGACATTAGTGACCTTGATGGTGTTAGATAGAGAGGGGTGAGCAGTAACGACCTTTCTACATGTTATTTTAATTGCAATCAGGCTAGGAAACTCATCATCACTGACTTGCTAGAGAGTGTTGGTGGCTGCGGATTTGTTTAGATTTTTTTTTTTTCCTGAAATAAAATTCGTGTCTAACAAAAAAACGACGTTTTTTTCCCAAACCTGACCGTAAACAACGATCGTTCTTTTCAATCGTTTTTTATCGCAACCGTTTTTTTCCACCTTGCGCGCAACTGCAGCTTAACAGGCAACCCCACCTTCTTCTCCAGCAGGTCGATGATGGTGACGGCATAGTGGTGCACTAGCTGCTTGCATTCATCTCTCCAAACGCCCTTGGCCCCAATTTGTTCATTTATCGAATCTATCATCTTCTGGCATGGGGTGTGAGCAGGGCAGTGGGGCGCGCGGGGCAGTGCAATTTCAAGGAATCCAAAGGGGAAGTGGGAACGAAGACCGTCACCATGCTGGACAAGGCACAAAGCATTGCCATTCTCAACAGTTTTAAATGGAGACTAGATTCTCACACGAGTACGCTAAATTTACTGTTTCTTCTTGTGGGGGTTGCGAGAGAGAGGGGAATGGGAAGGAGGGAGGGAGGGGAAGAGAGGGAGGCATACGGAGGGGCCAGCAATAAGGGAGGAGCCAGTGTCAGCGAAGCCGATTCCATTGACCCAGTAGCCACGAAAGGCACTGGCAGCGAGGGCGGGCGAGACGCGACTGAGATTGCTGCCTGGTAGGGGCATGGGATGGGCATGGGAGCGGCATGGGAGGGGCATGGGCAGTCTTGCGTTGCTCATGAAGATACTGAACGGAGGGCGGACAGGAGGACTATCCATGTGGCTAGTGACCAAACGCAATGGTAACATGGCATGAAACCCAAGTGTGCATTAAAAAACATGCATGTGAACAAAAGTGCAGGGGATGGAGATGTTTTGAAATGCGTGGCTTGGAATGCGTGGGGCGTGACTCACTGGTGGTGGAGCCACGGAAGACGACCACCATAATCTCCATATTGAACTGCATGCCAGCCGTGCACACATGTATGCACCACAGACACATGCACACACATGCAGGTATGCGCACACGCAACACACACACGCGTCCACATGCACGCGCACACGCACACACAAACACTCGAATATGCACGGACGAGAGGGTAGAGTGGTGTGGATGGATGGTTCAGTCAATGGAGGAAGGGTACTCAATATCCGATCCCAAATTTTCTGCATGCCATCCCTCTGCATGCCTTGCCATGCCTCCGCACGCACCCCTCCCCACACCTCTTTCCCGCCCATTCCCCCATCACGCCATCCCCCCTCGCACTTGCCAGTACCCGCGCCTGTAGATGCGCGCCCACATAGGCTCCTCTGTGTAATGCGCCTCGTCCACTCCGCCGAATACCACCTCCCCGGCTATCTCTGCCCCCGGGTCCTTGTTGAACCAGAAGGAGAACACGGGCTCGGGCACCAACCCCTGGTCTAGCATGTTGTACCACGGCGGCACTATCCCGTTCACCGATACCTCCTTGAATCCCAGCCCCATGATCCCGTCGAATTTCGCCGTGAAAAACCCGAGGCCCGGCTCGCTGGTGGCCTCCGCGAAGGTCTGCCCCGTTATAGTCACGTTGCCGACAGTCACGGAGTCGCGCGATTGAAATCCCTTCATGGCGTCGCTGCCGTACTGGATGGTGAAGGGCGTGCCGTCCGCCTCGTACGAGCGCGACTTGCGCGAGTCGTACTTGGCGTGGTTCAGACATGCGAGCTGCGCACACGGAGGGGGTGGGAAGATAAGAGATGAGGCGTGCAGAAAACGACAGTTGAGAGACGATGCGATCAAGAGAGAGAGTGATGATAAACAAGAGCTGGTAAGGAGGAGCGGGTCGTACGGAGAGGTAGCAGCGGCGCGAGGGCACCCAGAGGTTGCTGCTGCCGGTGTCGGGCACGACTTTGAACGCCTGCGGCGGCGATCCGATGCCGATCTCCATGTAATACTCCGGCACCACGTCCGGCCGGCGCTCGCCGCCGCTTGCGCTGCCTTCTGCGCCGTCCGCGAGGAGACCGCTGGCGGAGAGTAGATGCTGCTTGAACGCCGCGGACGACAGCCACTCGCGCTGCGCCGCGATGCGCTCCAGCGTGAGCTCCCCCGACCGCCTCAGTCGCGCGCGCACGAGTTGCGGAGGTACAGCCGTGGCGGCGCCATCGAAATTCGCTGCAAGGCCCAGCGCGAGGGACGCGGCGAGAAGGAATATCGCGAGGAGAGAGTCCACGCGACGCTGGATGAGAAGCCCCATGGAGCAAGCTAACAATATTTTCAAACCGTCCGATCGGGGTTGGCGGATACAAGTTCAAGATCCATACAAGTGGCGGGTGGCTGAGCTCTCATGTTTTTGTGACGAAACATCTATCTCCACAGGCAATCTGGACTGTCCGTACTTGATTGCATCAACGGTTGGGATTCCAACTCTAGCTATGCCAATTTGGATAGTTGTTGTTCTTATCTGTTCAAAGGATTTTTGTTGCTCATATTCGGTTTCGAAGAGACCATGCTCATCACGCCTAGTGATTCACCTAGTCACTCCCTGATCCAATCAGCTCTGACACTAGGTGTAGCCTACCTGTGGGCGCCACGGATCTGTGAACGTATTTTTCGTGGGCGCCTCGGATTTTCAGTAACAGCACATACCACGCCGTGATCACCTGCAAGTTGGAATCAACGCGGCGTAATCACGAAGTAGAGATGGCAGCAGGCGGTCGAGTTGAGTGAAACGAAAAGATGAAGGTCTAAACAGAGAAGAGAGCGAGCCGATGCAATCGCAACAAGAAGGCGCGATTGGATGATTACAATGCGTGCTTTTCGCGCGGCGATCATGCTTCATGTGGTAGTCCGCAGCAAGGGGTGGGGCGTAGCATGCTTATTCAGGCTTATTGCTACTCCGTGCGATTTGCACAATCTCGATACTACTGGACGTGGCGATTTGAAAAGGGAGGAGCCTGGAGAAAATGAGAAAGGCGGAAGCTGAGGCCGATGCGAGTCGTTATGCCTGCTCTTTGCCTCCTTCCAAGCATGTACCTGCGCCTTCCTCCTCCCTCCTTCCGCTTGATGAATCATCTCCCTTTTGATGCGAATTAGCTGACCCAATAGTTTCGTTACTACGCCCTCAGCACTTGGTGGTTCACTTCCACAGATCTCCCAACCAGCCATTCCTTGGCTTTCGAGCTTGAAATCATTCATGCATGCAGCTACTTGCGGCTTTGTGCTTTCTCTAGGTGCTTCCAATCCGCTATCAAACTTGCATGCCATGAGGTTGTCGAAATAGGGATAAGGAGATGAATTCTATGCGACCACCGCCCATGATTGGCGTTGACGAATGAGGTAACTGTTGTGCTATATGGATTTTAACGTAAGAACTCCCGCCGTGAATTTGGCAAGCATGATGATGGCGACGCCCATCGCTTCCTCACACTGTTGTTTGCGCGCCCTAGCCAATGTTTGCTGACGGGAATTTTAACTTGAGCACTGCATCCCATGCAATGCCATTAGCTGTCAACCCCCTCCCCTCCTCGCTCATGTCTGGACTTACCATTTTCGCTCCCCCCCCCCTCACTCCTTTCTCCTGCCCACACCAACAGCACCTGTCATCATGATGAGCCCAACCTTTCGCTGCAATGGTCGGCCAGGCAGCATGGCAGAGGCACGATCTGCAGCAGCAGTGGTGGCAGCGAGTGAGTGGAGGAATCCGGGCTGGAGGAAGGAGTGGGAGAGAAGAGAAGTGTGAGATAGCAGAGCTGATTGCACGCTGGACCTTTCAGGCTCCACACCACGCTGGTCGACTTTTAGGCTGCATGCAAAGAATGCAGAGGTGCGAGCCTGCACACGGCATCATTGCATGCCGTGACTAAAGGTGCGGTCAAGCATGTGTGTGGTGTTTCACCTACACATCCACTCTCCCCTTTTTCGCCTACCAGTTCTCGCCATGATCTGTGATTTGTCTGCCTGCCTCTGTCCCCTCCTTCTCCCACCTTCACGCCCATCCACACGTCCGATCGCCACACCACCACCTCTCCCTTCTCTTCAGTTTCCCTTCCCACATCATCCTGCATCCCGCTTTTCAGTCACCGAACCCCACCCCTTCCCACACTCCTTCTAGTGCCTCATGCCTTTCCTATAACCCCTTGTTCTGCCAGCCCCCATTCAACCCGCCTCCTCCCTCCCTCTCCCTCGTCCCTCCTCCCACTGCCCCACTCGCGTGCAGTGCTATGCGAGCGTGGTGAACGAGGAGCTGCACCTGGCACTGCGCGCACACATGGCGCCGGCGGTGTTCCTGCCTGCCACACCGCGTGACTGCAGGCGTGGACAGCCAGCTGTGGTATTACACGAGTGTGTGAGTGGGCTTCTGGACGGACGCCGTGTATGTCTCGCTCATCACCGCGTGCTGCTGGGGGCCGGATGAGAAGGTGTGCGCGATGGGCAAGTGGGAGATGTTTGAGGCGTCCCTGCCAGTGTGATACCCAGAGTCGTCCCTAGACGCACTGGGCCGCGTACCGTGCAAGTACTTTGAGTGGTACGCAGGCCTGGGTGTGGCAGAGTGTGCCGTGTGCCTTGTGAGTCACGGAAACCAGTGGGTGCAGGTGGAAGAGGTGAAGCTCGGATGGAGCTCACTGTCGAGGGCAAGGGCAACAGCAAGGTGCAGGATCCGATGTATGCCGTGCTCGTGGAGGTGATTTTGAGTCGACTCAAAAGGCAGCTGTTCTTTACAGTGCAGAAGGTGCACGCTGGTGCAAAGGAATCACACCATCAAGTTCTGCGCTAGGGGTTGGACAAGCAGGACGCACACGCCTGGAAGGAAAGTGCTGGGAAGCGGCAGATGCAGGAGATGCGGGGGAGGGGCTCGGGGAGGAGAGGGAGGGGGCTTATGGCAGTGTGAAGTGAATGAGGTTTTTCCTGGGTTGAGTACATGTCCCGTGCATCGTCTGTGCTCAACCCAACAGGCCGCGCGCTGGTTGACTCTTCTCCGCCAGCCGCAGCACCACCAGCAGCGGCGGCGGCGTCGGGGGCAGAGGGTGGGAGGGGAGCAGCTGCAGCAGCATGTAGTGAAGGAAGGTGCAGACTGAGGCAGATGCAAGCAGCAGGAGGAAGCAAGAGGAGGGGGAGGAAGAGGAGGAGCAGGAGCAGGTCTGAAACTGAGGGGTTAGAGGAGACCGGGGGGACTGGCTGAATTTTGTTTGGTGGGTGTGCTTGCCTGTCTATCTTCCCCCTTGCACCCCCACTGCAACCCCTCCTGTCCAAGGACAAGAACAGCGGTGGCTCACCTCTCCCAACAACCCTCTCCTCCTTCCAACCCCCTTCCCTCTCCCTTCTTCCCCTAACCCGCTCCCTCCCCAACTCCCTTCTCCTTCCACAACCCACTTCGCAACGTTGGCTCTCCTCTCATTCACATGCAGCTGAACCAAGGAAAGTGCAGCTGAAGCAGTGGTCGTGCCACCACTATGGTGGGTGGAGGGGAGAGGGGCTGGTGTTGCAGATAGAGCTGATCATCCTCCTGGGCGGCATGTGATCGTATGACAGGTCTTGCACAAACCTTTTCAACCCCCCCCCTTTCCACCTCCATCCGTCCTCCGTCCTTCTACCCCCTCCCTCCGGTCCTCTTTTGTATCTCCTAATCCCGTTTCCATTCCCCACTTGCCCCATCACCTGACTTGATCCGTTGATCCACTCAGCTGACGGCCTATCATCTGACTGCTGTCCAGCTAACCGCTTTGCCTCTGGCGACTTCTCTGGTGCCAACGTGGAAGTGAGCAAAGCCGCACAGGATGGAAGGCTACTCTTTCGCCACATTGGCAGATGGATAACCTATCTGCGCCAACAGCTTCCCAACTCGCCATCGCTTCCCGCGCCAACAGCACCTTCCATAGTCGTGAGGTGACCAACTCATGGCCGCGACCCACAGCCTGGCAGCATGGCATGGCGGAGCCACATGGGTGCATTCCTGCGAGGTGTGGGTTGTGCGTTGCACGTAGACGAGGAGGGAGGCGTGGGAAGGAAGAGCGTGGCAGTCGTAGATGTGACATCGTGTGAGTGGGCGTCAGCTGCATGCTGCTCTGCTCCTTGCATGCTGACCACCGGGGGCTTCTACGTTCCACATGAGAAATGCAGCACATGTTATCGACTCATCGTCACATGATATGATTGTGAATGGCTTCTCTGATGATGCCATGTGCTCTGCTGGCAGGCAAGGTAACGTACCAACACGGAGGTGTGGTGGTCCTGGTGGTAGAGTACAGAGTGTGTGCTGAGAATGACGCTGCATAGTGGACGCGGCAATTCGATCCGTTGCTCGGCCCATCAACACATTGGCTCTTCAGAATGGTGAGCCGAGCTGACCCAACAAGCCAAGCCGAGAAATGTTATCAGCGGGCGTGACCGAGTCAGGCTGAGCTGGCTCGTCGAGCTCATGCCCGGGTCGTCAGCTCGTTGAATCTGATCCGACGAGCTGCCGGCCGCCTTGATGAGCCATGAGCTCGCCGACGAGCTGAGGTCGGCGGAAAATCTTGTAAGAAGACCGTTCTCAGGGAATTGGACGCAAAAAACCATGGTCGCATAGATCTGGCAGACGGAGACGAGCCGTACTGGTTCGTCGACGAACCGGCTGGTTCTGCCCTCATTATTTTAAATGAGTGTTGACTTTCCCTGTGCAATGCCATCATCAGCTATCTTCCACTCCCCCCTCCTTTCTCAACAGTACGTCCTATCCTTATTCCTCTCTTCCCCCGCACTTCCTTCCCCCTCCCACACCAACAGCACCCTGTTCTGGACCACTCGTGGTGGTGAAGTCAGTCAGTGGTTGTTTGTGGGTGTGTGACGTTTTGACAAAGGTGTTGGATGCACGCTGCTCGTTGTGTGTTGATCAAGCGGTTGATGCATGTCTCCTTACGTCTCTCACTGCCCCCCTTCCCTCATTCACCTCCATTGGCTATGGCAGGAGCAGGAAGCGTGTGAGCATGGAGTCATATGAGCATAGGCGCATGGGAGCATGGGAAGATTCGAGCATGGGAGCATGAGTGGATGGGTGCATGGGAGCATGGGATTCTGGGGGCATACAAGGGAACCAATTTGTGCCGTTACGGCCGGCCGTCCTTCACTCAGCTCCAATATAATTCCTTCTGAGCTTAGAATATCTTGAGTTCAGATCAGACGGAAACGATTTTAGGATACAGAAACAGGAACTTAGACGGCAGCTACTAGCTGTAAGGAGGTGTATCATCAAGTGGGTGGAATGACAGTTTGGACTGAAGGAATGCAGTAGGAGATAATCCAGATATACATGTACCGATTCAATGGTATGTACTGGGACAAACGTACTATGTCATAATTAGTCAATTCTACGCATACAATATCTCCAGCGTCCAATCGAGCGGACATGTTTTTTTAATTCCAATGGCATTGTGCAGATACATCTTGCTAAGCAGCGTAACAACACATCACAGCCTTCACCTCTGCGTAATTCTTAGTCACCTACAAGACCGTCCTACCTCATTCACACATCCAGATCGTGCTCAAACAGAATCGAATGCTCACTGGAAATGACCACCCCTGGAAGGACATTGGGCTTCAAAGTCAACAATGCATAGTCGTTTGACTTGATGCGCTCCAGGTGCGGCAGGCTCTGCAAGCATGCTAACCCCTTCTCAGTGACCATGTAGTCCTTCAACTCTAGCCTCTTCAAACCTGTCAGACGCCTCATGTAACCCATGCCAACGTCGGTAAGCCCTTGTGGAGCAGAAAGAGCCTTAAGCTTGGGAAGGGACGCCAAGTACCACAACCCAGTGTCCTTGACCGCACTGCCACGGAGATACAACTCCTCAATGCCTGTCAGCTTGCCCATGTGCGCCATTCCATCAGAGGTGACACCCCGACAATTATGAAGCCACAGCACCCTGAGTGAGGAGAGGCCTGTCAGGTGCACCAGGGCAGCGTTGGTTATCTTGGTGTGGCTCAAGCAGAGCTCCTCAAGCCCTTTCATCGCACTGATGCCCTCCAGAGCATGCGGGGTGCTACCATCCAGAATGGTACAGTGCCTGAGATCCAGTTTCACCAGACCCGTGAGGCTGTACACGTGCCTCAAGCCTGCTGCAGTGAAGCCCGAGGACCCGATTAAACTGAGCTCCTTCAAGTCGGACATCTTGAGCAGTTGGCGGAGAGCCGCGTTTGAGAGGGCCGAGATACTGTTCAGCGCCAACGAGTTTCTTTCTGGTGCGTAACCGATCCATGTTGAGAGTGCTTTCTGGATGAGGAAACACACAAATCGTTCAGATAATTCAGAACGAGGTGCAACTGATGCATGCTGACACGATACATCGGAAGAAAAACGCGTTGAAACACAATAGGAAGAAAAGAGAAAGGGAAGGAAAAATATTCAGCACGACGCACACCCACCTCCCATGTTTCCTTGCTTCTCCCCTGGCTCCGTATAACTTCCGCGACAACTTTCCAGATGCGGTTTCTCAGTCTAGCAACCTCCGACTTCAAGGCTGCTGATTTCTCCTCCTCTGCCTTCCACTTCTCCTTCACCTCCCTCTCCATGTCCCTGTCTCCAGACACCTTCTTCTGCACTGCAGCTACTGCTTCTTGAAGCTCGTTTAACTCCTTAACATGTGCCTTTTCTATCGTCTGCGTCTTGCCCTTCACCTGCACCAACCCATCTTTGACTCCAGCTACCTCCCCCTTCACCCCAGCAACCTCTTCCTTCACTCCAGCTAATTCCTCCATGGCACGTGGCATATTCAACTCCTGCACCTCCCTCCTCCTCTCCTCCCTCTCCCTCGCCAACTCTGCTCTCAGCTCACTCAAATCCGATTCCCTCCTCCTTTCAGCCATCTCACATTTCTCTCTCAAATTGCTCAATCCTTCTGCTTGTCTTTTCTCAGCCTCCTCCGACTGAGATTCCACTAGGACCTTCTGTCCCCTCAAATTGCTTCCCAAAACTGCCAATTCCTCCCTCAAACCATTCATCTCTCTCATGTCCTCCGCTCTTCGTATCTCAGCCTCCTCCAAACCCCTCTTCCTCTCCTCCGTGCGTCTCCTCTCAGCCTCCTCCAGCTTGGTCGTTGTCTCTTCCAGCTGCACGCCAGCGCCCTCAATCTCATCTCCATCTCCTCTTTCCACTGGTGCGTTCCGACAATTCTTGTGGTGACTTTCCTAACTGCTTCACTCGCTCTTTGCATCCCTGAAGATGTATGCTTCCTACGAATTGCAGCCCAGCGTGCATATGGGATATGGGAGCAGGCAGATGAAGAAAATGGAGTGGATCACTGGAAAAAAATACGAGGAAAGCATAGCGGAATCGGCCCTAGGCAGCATGGGAGATGCGAGCGTGAAGCTGCTCATGATGATGTTAAAGAAGAAGGCTTTACAACTGGACGAACATATGCCACAGGAAGGAGTCATGGGTAGCACGGGAGACATCCCAGGTTCATGAACTACAGAAGCACATGAGAGGAGAACAAGGGTCAGAGGGCATGAGATGGGGACAATACTAAGCAAAAGAGCTTTCACAATGTTAGTTCCACACGAATACAGAATCTTTGATACGTGAGGTAAGGACATGTTGATGCACGATACAAGAGGATGCAAATGAACGATGGTGAAGTGGGGCATGCTCACATGGTGTTGCGCAGCAGCGGAAAGATTCCACATTGCTGCAGCATGGTGGTGAGGGCGAGAGGGAAAGTGGAGGAGAGATAAGGATGAGAGATGGGAGAGCGACGTGCAGCAGCATGGAAAGCATGAGTGAGCGCACAATGCTGTGATGGTGCAAGAAAGGTCAGACGGCAAAAGATGAAGGTGGGATGAAGTTGGGATGAAGGTGGCCCTGTGGGGGAAGGTGTAGCGCATGGCATACCAGGAGGCACTTGGTTGCACTCTTCAGCTTCATCAGCCCAGCCGTCACAGCCAAGCCCTGCTGATGCACCCATGCTCTGACTTGCGTGTGGGTCACGCCCATCCCCCACAGCAGTGCCATGAGAGTAGAGATTGAAATGTCCAGCAGGAGTAGATGACTTGCACTCGGGACCTGTGATGTGCAACAACAGGGCGAAAGCGGTGACACATGAGTGAGGAAGAGAACCAGCAAGGAAGACAAGAATGGTTCATTTGTTGCAGCAAGGTGGAACTACAGAAACCTCGGTTAACCCAGCACGCACCAGGTCGTGGAGGGAGTGAAGAGGCACGTTGAGCGCAAGAGCATGCTGAAGAGAGGCGGTGACGGCGTAGGCATGCGTAGAAGATTCGCTCGTGGCATTCTGACACGTGGCAGTGGCATTGGCCTGAGAGGCAGTCAACACATGCAAGCATGCATTCAAAGGGGGACATGAACATGCATACACACCCACGTAAGCAGTAAGCACAGTACACATGAAGGACACAGCGATTCAGTTCAACTAGATTAAATGGCCAACTTGATCAAATCAGAAAGCAAAGGAAAAAACGCTTGCGTACATGAGGGAGGGATGCAGAAGGAAACATGAGAGCGTGGTTGACTTGCTGGTTGTCACGTGGAATCTGCAAGAGGCAACATAGGGAGCACAAGTCCGCTGTGGTCTTGGTAAGACACGAGGCAATCCACCCGTTTGAGGAATCGGGTACAAGTGCAGAAATCCACGATGGGGAGAGAACATGTGCAGTGCAGCTATATTGGAGTGGGCATAGCCTGGTCAGCATGCCAAAGAGAGACCACCATGTATTAGACACCACTGTTTGTTGGAATGGCAATGTTTACTCACATCGTCTACAATGGTAGCACGGCAGACATCCCTGTGGAGTGGCTTGATGCTGATTACTGCAATGAGTGCAATGGCAGCACCGAGAGAGAAGGCGACGAGCAGCCCTGGCAGCAGCATGGCCACTGCAGTCATCCGAGCCATGGCTGATGGGGCGAGCCCAATGCAAGGCGGGAGGAAAGAAGCGACGCATCAAGAATGGCAGAACGCGGGCACGGGGACGCCAGAAAACATGCATATAGATCAAGCGAAGAGCAAGACGCGTCTGGCACTCCGGTGGGTGAGAGCTAGCGAGCACAGCAGAGGCGCCGTACCTGGAGTGCGCGCAGGTGGCAGTAGCGGCGGAGGGCAACAAGAAGTGGCAACCAACAGCAGCGAGGTTCCAGAGGCACTGAGGAAGAGAGTAATGGGCAGAGGCTTCAGGTGGTAAGGAGGTGTGCTCACATGATGAAGGCTAGAAAGCGAAGGAAATGGATTCTGCGCAGGAGGAAGAGAGAGGCGGAGGAGGATGATGTGTGCGATGCGCGCGCATTGCCTTGCATTCGCCCTTCTCCGTCGCTTCGCTTTCACGCGAAACCGAATTGCAGCACACGGCGGCATGGATTACTGGACCACCCCCGGGGTGGGGCCCTCTGCACGTCGCCACAAGGTGGAAGGAGCGCGCCACCCTCCCTTGCGCCCATCTCCATTTCCCCGTGCATGTCTTCGTTCGGTCGTGTTCGCACCGCCAAAACGAATCGCTTCGCATTTCATGTACGAATTGAGGGAATAAAGTCGCTCATTACTATTCTTGACGTCTCGCCCATGGCCGACATTTCCTAGCTTTCGCTATGGCGAGCGCAGCAAAGGCCTCTGTCGCCGGTGCGTGCTCGCGCCGGGGAGGATCACGTCGCGGCATCGTGAGGCCGAGGACATAGACCTCTACCAAATCCGACAGTATAGATCGCGAATTTGGCTGAGGCGAGAAAGATCATATGATGCGGGATGCGATGCGGGAGGGGCTAGAAAGAAGCGCGTGCATGGAGAGAGCATGGTGACACCTGGAGCTATGAGCGAGTCGGGAAAACTTGCTTGCTCACAGCGGCTGCGCCCTGAGAAGAGATGGGTTTGAGATAAGGGGAAGAGAAGCGTAAAAGTGATGGGGGGAGTGTGGGTTGGATCTGGATGTGCGAATTTTGTTCAAGATGCGCTGCTTTCGCCACACACGTGTAACCTGAAACAGCGTCCCAAATTCTCTCGTTACTGCACATTCCATTACAAATGCGAGGCACTTCTCGTTTCGTCAAAGTTGTTTCCAAGTTGCCCTGCTTGTGCCCGAAACTTCAATTTCTCGATATCGAAGCCCTCAATGAAGTGTGCAATTTCTCGATATCGGTTCCCATCAACGCTTGGTCGGCTGAAGCAATCCACCCACACAGATACCCCTGCTTTCCCTTGGGATTCCCCACCGACCCTCTTAGTTTGGCGATGACGCGCTCCGGCTCCCATCACACCCGTGCCGCACGCCTATCCGTGATGGCTTATCGACTCAATCTCACCGTTCATTACTCATCATTCCATTCATCCTCATCGTGCGGCATCACCGTCGCACGTCCGACCCATCATCCCAACCCAACCTATCCGAAAGGATAAGATGAGCACCGGCATCCGTCCGCGCTCCAACCCCCGTTGTTCAATCGCCACGGTGAATCAACGAGCTCATGCGCGCAAGAGTCGATCGCGAGAGCACTCAACTGTGTGATGCGGGGCACTGGGACCCATTCACCTATCGTCGCCTGTCCCCTTGTAACGTCTTCAGCCCTTCGCATCACCCAGGGTTGATCGCCAGTTCCTACCATTCTCAGCGTGCCTTTCTGGAAGGTACACCACCCTGCTCCCGTCACCGTTCACTATCAGGGGAAGCTTGTCTCCTCGTGCTGTTCTTCAGCACTCAAACCCTACTATCCCTTCACTAAGCACTGCCGCGGCGATACACATCTCGGACCTCCAACAGCACACAACGGATTCGCTCCACGTTCGCGATCACCGTAAGCACAACCGTCTTATCTGCTTCCCTTTCCTCGTTCGTAAAACACTATACAGCGCCAACCCAATTGCTCTGTTTCGGGTCATACAGTTTCCCTTTCCTCGTCCCCCCTGGCTCCCTGGTGAGCACTCGCGTTCATTGCTGCGTGGAAAAAGGGGAGAACCCGGTAGAATGGCGGAGAGCGAGTGAGTGACGAAGGTGGTAAAAGGTTGGAGAACGTTAAGAAAGAGACGAGCAATGAGGGGATAGGATTGGGCGTTGCATTAGAGGTAAAAAATTGGGAAGGAAAGGGCGGAGACTGAGGGACAGCGAGATGACGAGGTTTTAGGTGAGTGGCGGATGGAGAATGACGAGGAGAAAGGGGCTTTGGAGCGTAGAGTTACGCTGGATGTAGACGGGCGATGAACGAGGGCGGCTAGTTAACAGTAAAGAACAGAAGCATGTGCCGTGTTGTGTTGATGTGTGAGCAATGCGGAAGCTTGAACCTTGTGCTAGTGGCTCCTAAGCTTGGTATTTAACAAGTTTGGTTTCTGTTGGTGGTGTCATTTTTCTTCTTTCTTACTAGTTTTTTCAATATATTATTTTGCACTGTGTGGGCCCTTCGCAGATATTGAGCAGCCCGGAGGTGTTGTACGTGGCCTGGCGTCTCAGTCGTTTGATCTCCGTCGCCCCAGCGACTGTAAGAGCCTGCGTGTCTTTGCAGCTAATCAGTGAGCACCCATATGTCCCCTAGGTTTTTGGCGACAGCTTTCTGGTTGTCCTCTTTCATTAGTAGTAATATGCTTGGTTGAGATCGGTAAGATGCGGGCTACTGTCATTTGGGTCCAACCAGGGCAGTTTTTGAGGGCCTTTGAGATTTCCAGAGCACGATTTCCATGGCCACGAGATTCCTTGACCACCTAGTTCGCTTGTTCCGTCTCTTCCCTTGGACGTTCTTCCTTTCGTACTCGTCTGTCTTGGTCTCTGTACGACAAAAACTGACTGTACGAGTAATGTGCTTGGGATAGTGTTACACGCCAGTAGAGCTCTGCCCATGTGGACAGCAAGTGTTCCTTTGACCCGTTGACCAAGCGATGATCCGCTATCCAAGGTTAACCCGTGTTTCTGGGTTAACATGGTCCCTGGTCCCTGTGATCGCTCGTCTCTCTCCCTGCCTCCCTTCCCTCGCACCATTTTCAGAATTGCCAAGCCTCAGCCGTCACGAACCACGCACTGCATATCGACTCATTCCACACGTTGCCACCCCCTCTTGGAAACCCACACGTTGCCACCCCCTCTTGGAAACCCACACGTTGCCTCAAGTGGTTCTCCAATTGACCTCCTCTGGCCAGTCAGGGGGGGATTATATCGTGGAGAAAGTACCGATTTTCGTATATCGACAAGGGATACTCGCCACACGTGATTGGGTTGACCGAGGCATGGCCTCGGTCTCGACCAGTCTCGTCATGCCTACTTGGATTGGCCCATGTTCCTCTTTTCTCTCTCTCTTGTGTGTGTGTGTGTGTCCCTGTTTTACTCCTTGCGTGCCATCCCGTTTGGGCAGTCCGCACCGCAGTAGGGAGGGAGCTACGCAAGCTGCTCGTATGGCTGTAGAGAGCGAGTCAAATGCGATATCTGAGGCAATTAAAGGGCTGTTCGGGTTAGTGAGTGGGGAGATGGCAACTGTGAAAGGGGAGCTGACAGCAGCAAAGGGGGAGATGACAACATTGAAGGGAGAGCTGGCCATGGTTAGGGAGGAGGTGGGCCGACAGAATGAGCGTGTGCTGATGCTGGAGGAGAGGAATGAGGTTCTGGAGAGTGAGGTGAATGAGTTGATGCGTGCACTGGGGGAGAAGAGTGCGGCGGCTGCTGCTGTGGTGGAGATGAGGGGGGAAGAGGTGGCACTAGTGAAAGGGGAGTTGACTGCAGTGAAGGAGGAGATGGCTGAGCAGAAGGCTAGTATGGTGGAGAAATGGGATATGGCTGAGAGAAAAAGAGAGTTGGATATGAGAGAGCTGAGGGAGGCGAGTAGAGAGGGAGAACAGAAAACGAGAGCAGAGTTATCAAAGGAGAGGGAGGAGTGGAAAGGTGGCGTGCAGAGTGTGAGTGAGGCTGTCGAGACTGTGATGGCAAGTATGGCCACAGCACACATGGTGAAAGAGGCGATGGAGATGAGGATGAGGGCGCTTGGCGTGCAGCTGGAAGAGACAAGGAGGGCGTTGGCAGCAACCAAGGGGGAATTGGAGGAGGCTGAGAGTAGACGAGTGGCGGAGATGAGGGGGCAGGTGGAGGAGAGGGAGAGGGAACTGGCAGCAGAGTTGGCTGCAGTGAAGGCAGAGCTGATTGGAGTGAAGGGGGAGCTGGTTGACCACAAGGATGATATGAGAGAGCAATTTGATGTGGCTGAGAGAAGAAGGGAAATGGGATTGAGGGAGTTGAGGGAGGAGGCTAGGAAGGCAGAGGATGAAATGAGAGCGGAGTTGGCAAGGGAGAGGGAGGAGAGGAGGAGGGAGGTGCAGGAAGTAGAGAGGAAAAGTGCAGCAGACTTGACGGAGATGAGAGGGCAGGTGGAGGCAACTGCTGCTGCAATGGAGGAGAGGGAGAGAGAGCTGGCTACACTGCAAAAGGAAGCTCTTGAGATGGATGTTGACCTGCAAATCAGCCAGTGTGTCGGCCATCAAAGGGCCGCGTGGGAGGTGAGTGCTGAGTGAAATTGCGTGAGCGGGCATGCATGGTTTGACAGGGCATGCATGGTTTGACAGGGAATGCATGGTTTGACAGGGCATGCATGGTTTGACAGGGAATGCATGGTTTGACAGGGCATGCATGGTTTGACAGGGCATGCATGGTTTGACAGGGCATGCATGGTTTGACAGGGCATGCATGGTTTGACAGGGCATGCATGGTTTGACAGGGCATGCATGGTTTGACAGGGCATGCATGGTTTGACAGGGCATGCATGGTTTGACAGGGCATGCATGGTTTGACAGGGCATGCATGGTTTCTGAGCATGCATGGTTTCTGGGCATGCATGGTTTCTGGGCATGCGTTGTTTCACTCTGTCATAATGGTCTTTCATTCCCTCTTCATCCATCACCCCCAGCACATCAAGTCAGCATCAGGAGGAACCGATCTGAGGCTTACGAGTCTCAACGGTATCTCAGACGCTATGCTCGCCCATGTGTCCACCGTGACGCAACTGAAGAGCATTCACTTGTACTCTAGCTCAGGCTTCACTGCAGAGGGCATCAAGCACCTCTATAGGCTGCCACGGCTGCAAACTCTAAACCTCCAATGCGCAGACGTCTCAGACAGTGCCTTGGAAGGCATTGGATCCTTGACCAGTCTCACGCAGCTCTACCTTTGGAGGAGCAAGGTGACTGATGCTGGCCTGGCATGCTTGACAGGCCTTTCCTCTCTCAGAGTGCTAAAGCTTGCTGAATGCAAGGGTGTGACAAATGCTGGCATGGTGCATGTGGGGAGGCTGACAGGGCTTGACCAACTTGCTCTGAGTGGCACAGCAGTCACGAATGATGGTCTGCAGCAGTTGACTTCCCTGACCAGGCTGACGGCTCTCGGGCTGCCAGAAGGGCGTTGGCTTACGAACGATAATGTGCGCAGGCGGATAGGCAGGCAGGTTACAGGGTGTGATGATGGAAAGGAAGGCGAGACTGAGGAGAGGAGTGGAGGAAAGACGTGTGAAGAATGAGGGTAGGAATGCATGCGGAGGATTGAGGCATGGAATGGTGGTTGTGCACGGCTTAACTTGCATGCTGCAGAGAGTTGGAGGATGGACCTGTGGAATTGGTGCCTGGCAATTGGACAGGAGCAGATGTGGGGGCTTTTTTGGGAAAGAGACATTCATGTGCATGAGGGGAGTGGCATAGAAATTGTCTGCCTGTCATTTCATATGATGGAGGTACAACGGTCAGAAGCAAGGGGGACGGTGAAGGGAATGGGAGAAAAAGGGCAGAGGCAAGTCGGATCAGGAAGGGAAGGAGGGGAGATGTGGAGAAGCTGGAGACTAGGGCGAGAAAGAGAGCAGTGAGGGAGGTGAGCATGATGGGCGGCAGCAGTGACAGCAGCAGTGGCAGCAGCAACAGCGGTGGGCTAGGTTTGAGATCAGGGGTGAGTGATGTCTCGCATGGCTGCATGAGGGGAGCTGCATAAGAAATGCCTGGCTGTTTGGGTGCATGGTGTACAGTATCTTTACAGAGGAGGGAACATGGTGTGTATGATGGAGCTTGTAAGGCAATGTTTCAATAACATGAACACCTTGATCATCTTTATGTCATACTGCTCTTATAGCACCCATCAAACAATGCTGATGGTGGAAAGGCCTTGACCTGGATGGCATGGCAGGCGTGTATGCTGAGAACTTACGTCTCTCCTTTTACCGGTTTTCATGCAATGAGGATTTGTGCACACATGGACCGGTAGGGGCCCTTGGTGGCAGAGAGGGATGATCGGGGCCTTGATGATGAGGGAGATGAAGTAATCGAGGTGGAGGTGTGTGCAAGTTGGCTGAGCGCCTGTGCACAGTTGAGGATAGCTGTGAATCTGTGTCTTGATAGTGAACTTGTCCCTTGATCTCAGACTGCAACAGCGCAGGCTGTATAGAATCAGTTGCATACGAGTGTGCGTCAACTAGTCTCGCTGGCCTGATGTTGGATGCAAGCTTAATCATGCCCCACTTCAGTCTTTTGTCAGATTCAGAAGATCTACACCAGTACAAAAAGCTCCACCACATTAGATTTGTATCAGAACACAGGCATGTGCTGCCTAAGCTGGTTGGCAGGGCATGATCCATGGGATGGAGGGCAGCTGTGAAGCAAAAGTGTGGCTGTTCCTGCATGAGAAAGGATAGAAGTCACACGTGCCGCACCACACAACCTTACCGGTATGCCCCATTGTATCCCTCTAAGATGATTATGCTGCGACCAAGCAAGGGGTACACATGCACGGGCAGAGACTGAGGGAAGCGAAAGTGACCCAGTGACGACCGTGCAAAGGGGTATATAGGGGAGGAGGAATGGTTTGAGTTATGGCACCAGGTGCCAGATAAGGTATGGGATGAGGTGTGGGATGAGGTGTGGGATGAGGTGTGGGATGAGGTGTGGGATGAGGTGTGGGATGAGGTGGGATGAGGTGTGGGATGAGGTGTGGGATGAGGTATGGGATGAGGTGTGGGATGAGGTGTGGGATGAGGCGCGGGGTGAGGCGTGGGATGAGGAGTGGGATGAGGTGTGGGATGAGGTGTGGGATGAGGTGGGATGAGGTGTGGGATGAGGTGTGGGATGAGGTATGGGATGAGGTGTGGGATGAGGTGTGGGATGAGGTGTGGGATGAGGTGTGGGATGAGGTGTGGGATGAGGTGTGGGATGAGGTGTGGGATGAGGTGTGGGATGAGGTGTGGGATGAGGTGTGGGATGAGGTGGGGGATGAGGTGTGGGATGAGGTGTGGGATGAGGTGTGGGATGAGGTGTGGGATGAGGTGTGGGATGAGGAGTGGGATGAGGTGTGGGATGAGGTGTGGGATGAGGTGGGATGAGGTGTGGGATGAGGTGTGGGATGAGGTATGGGATGAGGTGTGGGATGAGGTGTGGGATGAGGTGTGGGATGAGGTGTGGGATGAGGTGTGGGATGAGGTGTGGGATGAGGTGTGGGATGAGGTGTGGGATGAGGAGTGGGATGAGGTGGGGGATGAGGTGGGGGATGAGGTGGGGGATGAGGTGTGGGATGAGGTGTGGGATGAGGTGTGGGATGAGGTGTGGGATGAGGTGTGGGATGAGGTGTGGGATGAGGTGTGGGATGAGGTGTGGGATGAGGTGTGGGATGAGGTGTGGGATGAGGTGTGGGATGAGGAGTGGGATGAGGTGTGGGATGAGGTGTGGGATGAGGTGTGGGATGAGGTGTCGGATGAGGTGTCGGATGAGGTGTGGGATGAGTTGTGGGATGAGGTATGGGATGAGGTGTGGGATGAGGTGTGGGATGGGGTGTGGGATGAGGTGTGGGATGAGGTGTGGGATGAGGTGTGGGATGAGGTGTCGGATGGGGTGTGGGATGAGGTGTGGGATGAGGTGTGGGATGAGGTGTCGGATGGGGTGTGGGATGAGGTGTGGGATGAGGTGTGGGATGAGTTGTGGGATGGGGTGTGGGATGAGGTGTGGGATGAGTTGTGGGATGAGTTGTGGGATGAGTTGTGGGATGAGGTGTGGGATGAGTTGTGGGATGAGTTGTGGGATGAGTTGTGGGATGAGTTGTGGGATGGGGTGACGAATGCGCAGGGTCGTGCTGTCACCATCAGCCAAGCACCAAGGGAAAGGGGAGGGGGGAGAGGGGAGAAAGGAGGAAGAGGGGAGAAAGCGGGGAGAGGGGAAACATGGGGGGGAAGGGGCTGGGAGGGCGAAGAGGGAGAGAGACCCGGGGGACATACACAAGAGCAGCGCAGGAAGACGAGAGGGGTGTGGACGGTGGAATTGAGGGAGAGAAGAGAAGACTGTCGTGTAGCTGATGTGGGAGGGACGGGGGTTGCAATGTTATACTTCTGGTGCTTGGTTAGGATGGTGAGCGGAAGGGGAAAACATTTGAATTGAAAAGTGGGTGTGATGGATTGATGTGATGGGTGCAATGGTTGAAGTGGGGCGAGTGGAGAACTTGGAGATGAGGAAGGGGGAAGAGGGCGAAGGGAGGGAGTGGTAGAAGGGATACAAGAAGCTTTGAGGGGGGTGAGAGAAGGACGGAGGGAGGTTGGAAAGGGAGAATGGGAGCGGAAAAGATAATGGGGAAGGCGAGGAGGAAAATGGAGGGGGTTGGGGAATTGAAAGAATTTATGGTACACCTGTTATGACCACCCAGGGAGAGTATACATACAGGCGAATACAATGACCACTACTTCAGCTGCACGTGCTTTGGAGGAGGTTGCAAGCTCCTGCAAATAGGAAGGGGCATTGGATGAGAGATGGATGGGTGTAGTGAGGGATGCTGGACTGAGGAGGGGGTGGATTGTGGCGATATTGCACCGGACGTGATGACGATGACATGTGCCAGTGGAGTGCAGGAGTGACAATGGATGCAAGTGTGTAAAACCACACCACATCGTTTAGTGCTGCCAAAGCCAAGAGCAGGAGGATGTGTCAATTCATGGGCGAAACAAGTCCACTGATAAATTCCAAATTGGACATGAGAGGAGTCTTCTAAAACAACTCAACGTCTCTCACCTCTGATGGCACCATCGTTACCCTGGGTCGCCGACAGCTGAGAGGCCTCACCACCACAAGTACTGCTGCAGCCCGCTGCTCTGCCATGCTGCCTGCCTGCCTGCCCTCATCGAATAGCTAAACTCCACATAACTAGTACAGGACAGGTGCTGTTGGTGTGGGAAGGGGAGGGAAGATGGACCGAGTCGGTGAGAGGACATGGTGCTGCATGGGGTGAATGTAATTGGGGGGCATAGCATGATAAGATGAAGGGCATTGTACGATGGGATCATACAACAATTCTGCTGACAACTGGCTGGCGTTGGAAGAGCTGAATGGGAAGGAAAGAGAAGGGGGAGACAAGGACAAGGACAGGAGAGCTGTCAAGAGAGGACAGGTGGGCGCCTCTGGAAAAAGGCGTGCTTCATGCTGGTGAAGGGGGAGACAAGGACAGGAGGGCGTGCAACTTCGGCATGTTGGTGCTCACCAGAAAGGAGATGGAAGGGAAGGTGGGAAGAAAGGTGGGATTGTGGTGGGTGGTGTAGGGAGGTGACATCGAGTTGGTTTACCGCAACAATGTCCGCGTCTGCTCCATCCTAGCCACCCCCTTTTCATCCTCGTCCTCCTCCAACCCCTCTTCCTCCCCCTCCTCATCCTCCCCCCACCTATATACCCCCCCACCCCGTCAAACATCCCTTGACCTCCTCACTTCGCTGCAGCGATGCCTCCCCCACATTTCGCGACAGGCGGGGTTCCCAGGTCCTGTGGCTTTCTGCTTGCAGCAGCGAGGCGCCGCTGGGTGGGCTGACGATGCCTGCGAGCAGCCCCTCCTTCCGCCCCCTCCTCCCCCCCGCTTCACAATCCTCACAGAGCCTGCTTCAGATGTGACAGTCGACCATGACTCGATCTCCTGCATATCTTTATCTGAACTTTCACTCCCCCTCCTCCTCCACTTCCACCGGATCCTCCTCAAGGCCCCGTGTCACACAGCCCGTCTGCGTCTGCATCAGCGCTCACAACAGTCTCATCCGCTAGCCAAAGCAGGCGTGCCCTTCACCAGCACCACCGCCTGCCACAGCAAGGGACGAGAGGGGACACGGAAGACTGTGGCTAGCAGAAGGACGGCAGGAGAAGGCAAAGAGTGATGAAGCGTCAAAGCCTGGCTGTGATAGGGCTACGTACAAAGACAGAGCAAGCAGGACTGCACTCAACAACACTTCCTCTGTTCTTGGCTAAGCTCGTCACCCGTTTCTCACGCTCACGCCTACCTCACCGTACCCCTTCCCCTCCTGCCCCATCCTCCGCCTCCTTGACCCCCAGGAACTGCAGCCAGGTGGCGAGCTTACCGTGTGGCGCGCAGTGGCCCCATCATCAGGCTTGTCCTCGCTTACCGTGTGGCAGGGCAAGCCTGGTGCAGGCAGGACAAGCCTAATGCAGGCTGGGCAAGCATGATGCAGGCTGGGCAAGCCTGATGCAGGCTGGGCAAGCCTGATGCAGGCTGGGCAAGCCTGATGCAGGCTGGGCAAGCCTGATGCAGGCTGGGCAAGCCTGATGCAGGCTCGGCAAGCCTGATGCAGGCTCGGCAAGCCTGATGCAGGCAGGGCAAGCCTGATGCAGGCTGGGCAAGCCTGATGCAGGCTGGGCAAGCCTGATGCAGGCTGGGCAAGCCTGATGCAGGCTGGGCAAGCATGATGCAGGCTGGGCAAGCCTGATGCAGGCTGGGCAAGCCTGATGCAGGCTGGGCAAGCCTGATGCAGGCTGGGCAAGCCTGATGCAGGCTGGGCAAGCCTGATGCAGGCTGGGCAAGCCTGATGCAGGCTCGGCAAGCCTGATGCAGGCTCGGCAAGCCTGATGCAGGCAGGGCAAGCCTGATGCAGGCTGGGCAAGCCTGATGCAGGCTGGGCAAGCCTGATGCAGGCTGGGCAAGCCTGATGCAGGCTGGGCAAGCCTGACGCAGGCTGGGCAAGCCTGATGCAGGTCCACATGTGGTCGTGCGAGAGTCGAGACAGTGGAGCAGAGATCGCAGTTGCCCTTGAGAAGGGGGCACGGCACACAGGAACGTCGTCACGCTGAGGGACGGCAGCCCGCCCGCGGTGTGGCAGTCAGGAACACCGCCAGCGCCATTTGTGCGCGCAGCGCCAACAGCTGCTCCTCGTTCACCAGCCACCACGCACCTGCACAGAACTGCACGCGGTGGGGCAGCGGGAGGGGGGACGGGGGAGTGGGAAAAGGCAGGGAATGGGCACGTGGGGACTGGCTGAGAAAGAGGTTGTAGGAAGGACAGGAGGCACTAGGAGTGTGGGGTGGGGAGGGGTTCGGGTGACTGAAAGCGGGATGCAGGATGATGTGGGAAGGAAAAAATGAAAAGAAGGGGGAGGGGTTGGTGTGGCGATCGGATTAGTGGATTGGCGTGACGGTGGGAGTAGGAGGGGGCAGAGGCAGGCAGACAGATCACATATCATGGCGAGAAAATAACTGGTAGGCAGTGGGGGAGAGAGAGTTGATGTGTAGGTGGAGCACAAGCACCACAGACATGTCACATGCTTGACCACCTTCAGTTACGGCATGCGATGATGCCATGTGCTGGATCGCACCTCTCCATTCTTTGCATGGAGCCTGAAAGACCCAAATGACCAGCATTCGACCAGGCGGACCCTAAAGGTCCCGCGTGCAGTTATCTTCGACTGCCTCACCCTTCGTATGGAGCCTAAAAGACGCGAATTACCGAAATTCGCGTGCAATGAGCTTCTGCTGCCTCGCTCTTCTTCTCTTCCCTCCCACGCCTTCCTCCAGCCTGGATTCCACCACTCGCTGCCACCACTTCTGCTGCTGCAGCCCCTGCCTCTCGTTCTGCCCAGCCGTCCATCGCAGCGATTGGTTGGCCTCTTCACGAGGGCAGGTGCTGTTGGTGTGTGAGAGAGCGAGGTAAGACGGTACTACTAAGCGATGAGGAAGAGAGGCTGATAGCTGATGGCATTGCGCAGGAAAGCTGTAATCTGATTCATCCTTCCGTCAGCAATCACAGGCAATGGCATGAATGGACAGAATCGTGCCTTGCAGCAATGGATGGAGAAAGGAAGTAGTACAGATTCTTTTGTGTGGGATGTAAGTTTGTTACACCACAGCTTCTGTCACCTCCATGGCGCGTCACCCTATCTGCAGTCAGCTAAGAGCCATCCGGATTCACTCCACTGCACCTGCCGCCATGATGATGCTTCGCCCATGGCGAATGCGGTGACGAGAGCAGGAACAGTGTGAGCAAGAGGTGGGCTTCAGCACCATGCTCGCCACATGCACCGTGGGAGCTCTTGCATCGGCGTGTGACGCAAGAACTCCCATGTACTACTGGTAGTTACACTCGTTCGTCTCACCATATTTGCACAAGGCCGATTCAAATGTCAACTGCGGCAACTTGAACCCCCGGTTCGTCAACGAAGCAATACCCGCGTGGCGTAACTACTACTGTGCGGGTTCGAGTCGGAGAGCGAATTAGGAAGACGCAGAGAGAAAGCACAAAGCCGACACATTGCTGCCACGCTCGTCCCTACCATCACTGCTGCTGCTCGCCTCCACCACTCCCCGTTGACTGACTTCACTGCCACCACTGCTGCTTCCGCAGCCCATAGCTTTGCCCTGCCGTAGCTCTCAGCTGACAAGCTCTCGACTTGTTTGTGTGTGGTAGAGATGCGCTGAGCATGGTGCTGGTGGTGTGGACCGGAAAAAGGGGGACGGGGAGGGAAGCGCAGAGGCTGAGCGAGGAGGGGGGAATGGCAGACAGTTGATGTTGGCATTGCACACAGGAAGGCTGTTCTCACTTTCGTTCAGCCTCATCGGCGAGCAGAAGCGAGATACTGTCACTAGATGCATGCGATAAGGGAGGGAGGCAGAGCGGCATCAATGGATGGAAGAACGGAGGGGATGTAAAAACAATGTCACATACTGCTCGTCGGATTCTCACCTCGATGTGGCACGATGCCCTACTGCCCTCCTCTCAGAATCTGTCAGCTGAGAGGCCATTATCTGAGAGGGTACCCCGCATTCATACGCCGTGCTGCCTCGACGCAGCCGTGTGCGTGGACGGGCGGATCCCTCACTGGAAGTGCGGTGGCATGTAAAATTCGCGTGTCTCGCCATCACGCTCCTCTCTGCGCAAATCACAGTGGAATTTCGTGCATCGTGGAATGAAGGCCTCGTTTTCGCGACGAGAACCGAGCACGAAACCCTAATAGTAACGTTTCGTCTCGCCACTTCCGCGGACAGTGGCGACATCGAGGCTGTGCGAATGGGCGACGTCACCTCGTCAACCAATATATACCCTGTTAGCAATAACTAACTCCTAGAAACAGACCAAAGCGCGTAAGCCTTCTCCCTTCCGCGCCCGTTTTTCATCCCCGCGTGCGTGTCTTCGTTCGGTCGACTTCGCTTCGCTTCCGAATCGGCCATTGCAATCATGGCAGGATGGACATCGTCACGTCGCCCATGGCTGTTCACAAAGATCTGTTG